GTGCATGAAAGAACACCACTGTATATTTGCTCATAAAATAAAGAGTATAAAACATAAGCACACATGGTGACTGGCTTGTTCTGACCTCTTTTATTTTAACATTTCTTCTACATATTTTTAGACTTTGATCATTCTAAAAGTGAGATGTCAATCACTTAGTTGAAGAATAGAAGATGGCTTCCAATATCTATGTCTTTAATGTTTATCTGTATTTTTACTTAGTTCTACTTCGTATGAATCACTTTAATACTTCTACATTTAAACTTCACTGTAAAACCAGAAAAGTGCTTTTTTTTTCATGGTGATTATTACTACTAGACAGCAAGACAATGCTGGCTGAGGGATTTTAGTTCTAGTCCAATGTCACCAAGAAGCTCTTGAGGTATTGTTGTGGCTTATTCATGAATACAATAAGCCACAACAGGTGGTGTTAATGAGGGTCCAGCCCCATGGGGTCGGACGGTCCATTCACTGATCCAATGCAGACATGGACAGCTCAATTCTATCAATGGTTCCACAGCGCACGATCCACTCGCCACTCTTTGACCTAGCAGCAAGGCTAGTCCTCCCGCCTGCTGGCAGGAGTGGCAAGTGGATCGCCCACTGTGGAGCCATTGGTAGAATTGTGTCATCCGTGTCCATGATGGATTGGTGAGTGGACTATATGGAGCCATGGGCCGGACCCTCGTTAACACCACCTATGCGGATATATGTGTATTCGTAGATGAATATGAATACCCCCATCTCTGTTTATGAATATTTCTTCATTCTGTTGATTTATATAGTTAGATATATACTTCTGCAAACAAAATTCCTTTGCTTCCTTCTTTCATTGCAACAGTTTTCCTTTTCTGTGCGATATTCATTTCACATGTCAGCATCAGCATCAGCTGATAGCACAAAGTAACTGTTTCAGGAGACAAAGAATGGACATTTGGCCCATTTGTTCAGCTATCCACGAACACACATGCAAAGATAATGGAATGAGAATCTTCCCAATATGGAATGCTGCTTCAGGCTAATTGAAATGATCCAGGTACAAACCTCTTTTTTCTACATATAGCCTGTGAAGATCATACTGTCTACCAATATTTAAACTGTTGAGTGAAAATGGTTTTTCGGGATCAAGATATTCATTGGTCCCGAATGGGACCAAGAAGTGGACTGGAACAGAGGGGAAAAAACCCAAACAATAGCATAATTAATATCTATTGGACATATACAAAATCCAACTAAAACAATAACTTTTAAAGCTTTTTGGATGGAAAGTAGCCATGGACATTCTCTGCCATTTGTATTAACTATACAATGCCACTGTTACAGAAGTTTCTGACTGTGATTTATACCTTTAATTGCTTTGTTAGTACCCCTTGAAATAAATAACTTCCAAGCGATGAGTTCGTTTCCCATATTTTCTGTAGCAGAAGCAGAGACTGGAGAAAATTGCATCCAGTCCTCATTTTTTAAAAAGAATTTACCTAACTCAAATGTTCTGTACCAATATGTGAGTAAGAATTCATCTGCTTTGTGCCTTTCAGTCTTCTTGGAATTTCTCCATGCAGTAAAGTTCTGTTGAAAATGAATGGATACAAGGACGTGTATATTAAACGAAGGGATACAGGAAAAAATGTGTCCATTACTGAAAAATGTATACAAACATTCTAGAAACTACATGCAAATATTTTGCATCTATTAGGTAAAATTATATTTCAAATACACTTGAGTCCCCCCCAATAAAATGATAAATAGATGCAGAAACAAGGTAGAACATGGTACAATATGCAAAATAGGAGCCAAAATGGGAAGACATACACATCTCTAAGCAGAAGCGCATGTTTAAATGCATGGGATAATGGTTTGTACCTTCTGGAGTTGAAAAGCAGGCCCGTTATGCTTCCTGACTCTTGAGATCCAGGGGACAAATTCTAAAATGTTCCTTTTTATTGGTTCTTGTTAAGACATCTCAGACTTCTTTACTATTATGTGTGAAATAGCTGAAGGTTGGTAACTCACCTGGTTCATCATTTATCCTGCAAACAAGCAAGGAACAAGTCCCCAGATGTTATGACATCATGGATTGCACACATCATAGCTAATGGGATGTCTCAGTAGAAAACTATCAACAAATGTTAGAACTTCAGAAGGAAGTTTTATCTTTAGGTTATTTTTAGGAATTTAGTTGATGAAATCAAAACATCATGCCTTCTTCATGGACAACCTTTTCCTTAGACTTTAAATTTTTATTATTTCTGAGGGAAAAATAGTTTTGAAGTATACACTGCTTTTACAATCTGATGCCAGCTGTCTAAAAACATTATGCGCCACCAAATTCAGTAAGATTTTGCTAAAGCTAGGTATATACAGAACTGAGGCCTTTACTTTTTTTTCAATTATGGGTCTGATTAGGACCACAGTTGCTTAGCATGAAGTTAACTTATTTTTTAAAAAGAAAAACAATTTTGGCTGCTCTGTTCTGAAGAGGGAGTACACAAATGGACACTTTTGGAGAAAATGACAGATATCACAAGCCAAATTACTAAGAACTATTCAGGAGTAAGCCTACAAAAATGCATTGATCTCTGCCAGACTTGCACCAATAGTGTTCTTAGCTGTTGATGTTTTACTTTAGCTGGAATGGCCTAAGAAGATGGGGTGTGTGTGGAATTCTATTCTTATTCAATAACAGAAATTTGTTAATGCTAATTCTGCAATACGGTAAAAGTGTACCTTGAAATCAAACCCAGAAGGACTTTTGAATAAACATGCACTGGACTGTTCTGCAAAAGTGAACTTATGGAAGGCAGCAATAGGGCATGTGAATAATATAAGAACTGTACAGTCATAAGGAGTCAGGACTCAATAGGCCACTGTGGTATTGCCCAATGTTGGATATTTTGCTTTCCAATATTGTTCAGAATCTGTCTTAGAGGAAAATACTCTCACATCAATTCTCTTCCATACTTTTGGGTCCCATTTGTGAGCTCAGCCGGGGGAGGGGAGAGAGACACAAGGGTTAACAGGGGTCAGAACTTTGTTTAACTATTGATAACGGTGTGCAGCTCTTCAGATGCTGGCATGTAACTCCGATATTCCTAGCTTATTTATTTATTTATTTATTTATTTATTTGTTTGTTTGTTTGTTTGTTTGTTTGTTTTGTTTTGTTTGTTTGTTTGTTTGTTTATTTATTTATTAGATTTTTGCCCCGCCCCCCTAGACAGCATCTACTCGGGACAGCCAACAGTGTGATGATGCAGGAATTATAATCCTATGATACATTAATCAATTTTTAAAAGAATTATTTCTGAAATATGCCTAATCTCCTTTGTTGAGCAGCTATTTTGTGGTAACACAGTCTAAGCATGAAAAGAGGAGCCTCCTCCCAACTTCTGGCTCTGCAGCCAAATTCCTAACTTACTGAGCTCTCAAGCCAACTAGTTTTCCATAATTTATACCAAATACCTCTACCATCTGTCAACAACTGAGAATGACCATCAAGTGCAATTTGCCGGCCATGTCGTACACATGTCTGAAGGTTGTCACCTGAAAACTGCACTACAGTGGGTACCTCCTGGAGAAAAGAGAAACCGAGGCCACCCTTGAAAAACCCAGCATAAAACACTCAAGGTAAAAGGTAAAGGTTCCCCTTGACAATTTTTGTCCAGTCGTGTCCGACTCTAGGGGGCGGTGCTCATCCCCGTTTCCAAGCCATAGAGCCAGCGTTTGTCCAAAGACAATCTTCCGTGGTCACATGGCCAGTGCGACTTAGACACGGAAAGCTGTTACCTTCCCACCGAGGTGGTCCCTATTTATGCTTTCGAACTGTGAGGTTGGCGGGAGTTGGGACAAGTGACGGGCGCTTACTCTGTCATATGGGTTCGATCTTAGAGCTGAAGATCTACAGACCTCTACAGCACAGAGGTTTCTGAGGTTTAACCCGCAGCACCACCACATCCCTTCGCAGCACCACCACCGTCCCTTAAAACACTCAAGGAGGATCTCAAAACCATTCATATTCCTTGGTATGATGCTGAAAATATTGTGAACGATTGAGTTCAGTAGAGAACACTTGCTGCCCCCTGTGCTCTGCAGAGGACCTGATGACGATGACGATCTTACCCTTTGCTGAACCTGAGCGCACAGACACACTGCCCAGACACACTGCCAGTATGATTCTCGGCAAATGTGCAAATAATCCATCTAAAGCTGGTGATGGGCAATCTGCCATTTGGAATGTAAGATTGATTCAGAGCATGATTTACTTTCCTAGACACTATTTGGTGCCAGCCATCATTTTGGTCTCACTAATAAGGGTATGATGAATATTTTTAGATGACTTCTTCTCCAACAATAACCTTTGCAGGGAGAGAGGCAGGGGGAGTGTGACCCTGTTGATACTCCTGGACCTCTCAGCGGCTTTCGACACCATTAACCATGGTGTTCTTCTGGATAGGGTGGCTGGGTTGGGAGTTGGGGGCACCAATTTACAGTGGTTCTGCTCCTTCTGGCTGACCGTGTCCAGAGGGTGGTGCTGGGGGACAGTTGCTCTGTCCCATGGCATTTATGTTATGGGGTTTCTCAGGGCTCAATACTGTCCCCATGCTGTTTAACATCTACATGAAACTGCTGGGAGAGGCCATCAGGAGGTTGGGGCTGAGGAACTACGTGGGGCTGCCTTTGAAGATGGTCTGGCGACTGCAGCTGGTCCAGAATCGAGCTGCATGGCTGGTGAGTGGTGGGGCCACTAGGGAACATATCAAGCCAATTCTGTTTAAGTTACATTGGCTACCAGTTGCTACCTGGGCCCAATTCAAAGTGCTTGTTTTGACATATAAAGCCCTAAATGGCTTGGGCCCTGGATACCTGGCAGTTAAGATCTAGCCAGGGGGCCCTTTTGAAAGAGACGTCCCTCAAGGAGGTAAGAGCGATGGCTTGTAGAGAAAGGGCCTTTTCGGCAGCTGCCCCCAGACTATGGAATGCCCTCCCGGCTGAGATTTGTCTGGCGCTGATGATGATGACATTTCAGAGCCAGGTCAAAACCTTCTTGTTCCAGAAGGCTTTTAATTGAAATAATATCAGCTGGGGGTCCGATGGCAATTTTTAAAGTATATACGTATTCTTAATTGCATTTTAATTATTTTGCCTTTTTATTGTATTTTAAATGTTGTAAGCCGCCCAGAGACCTTTGGGTAGTGTGGGCATAAGATAAGTTAAATGAATGAGTGAATGAATGAATGAATGAATGAATGAATGAATGAATGAATGAATAAACAAATAAATAACATCACTGAAAATTTGTCGATTGCTGTGACGTTTTGTTTTGTTTTCTTTTGTTCCTTCAGGAGAGTGAAAACACTTAGGAACGTTTACTAACATCAAGAGAAACATTAGCCAAAAACAAAAGAAAAACAAATCTAATAACATGAGTTATTAAAAAGATATCAGTTTTCATTGATAAGTGTTGAATAGAGATGGGCTCATACTGTGGTTTGGTGGTTCAGCACAGTTTGGAGGATCAGGCCCACAGATGTTGCATAGGGACCTTGGATTCTGTGTTCCACTTCTTCTCATGGGTGCCCACTCAGAGGAGGAGGCGGGGTTTGGAAAGCCACATGACTGCTTCTGACATGGGACAGAGTGGGATGCAGAATCTGGGGCACCTGCACATTCTCCAAGGCATTGACCCACCAAACCACAGTAAGTGGTCATCTCTAGTCTTCAATTAAGAAAAAAATTACCACCCAAAAATCTCATAATCTTTCTCAGATGGGAGAAAAGATTTGCTACATGAATGAAACAGAAGATTTCTGTTGACATTCCCTAAACCTTTACATACTGTGTTTCCCTGAAAATAAGACAGGGTCTTATATTAATCTTTGCTCCAAAAAAAATGCATTAGGGCTTATTTTCAGGGGATGTTTTGTTTTCTTTTTCATGTAGAACTATCTACATTCATTCAAATACAGTGCTGTCATCTTCTGGTTGCTGCACTATGGTGGAGGGTGAGCTTTCACTTAACTGGGGCTTATTTTTAAGGTAGGACCAGATGGGCAGGGTATAAATAAAATAAATAAATAAATTACTAGAATCCTGAAAAAACTCACACTAGGGCTTATTTTCAGGTTAGGTCTTATTTTGGGGGGAACAGGTTATTTTCT